CCATCTGGAGTTTGAAATAAAAATGCTGACTTGTAAAACCGTCATGTCAAAAGTCAGTGTCACTTCCTCAGACGAGGGGCGATGTGCTGTATGTCAAGAGCAGACAGAATGACGAACTGACCGACTGTTTAAATCCTGTATGTTCTCACTCCTCCTTATTTAGAGCCACGTCCTGAATGTTTCTGTTTGTGTCTCTCTTTTCTCACTCCGTCCTCTCTCCATCTCCTTCGTCACCTTCTTATCCGTCAATCTCACTATGTTCTTGCCAGACATTAATTCATGTCCATCATCAGCAAGCGTCTCATCCCCTCAGCATCCAGACACTTTCCTCAGCACCTGTCAGCTCTCCAGCCTGCTGTGTGTGTGTGTGTGTGTGTGTGTGTGTGTGTGTGTGTGTGTGTGTGTGTGTGTGTGTGTGTGTGTGTGTGTGTGAGAGAGTGTGTGAGAGAGTGTGAGAGTGTGACTACAGGTACAAAATGTAATGGAAATGTGCTGAGCTATCACAGCAGAGCAAACTGTATCTCTTTGGGTGTGTGTCTGTGTGTGTTTGTGTTTGTGTACTGGGCTGTAGCTTATCCACTGCAGGGTTTGCTGGGCTCGTGCCACAGCAGCAGGAACATTTCTTTTGGGTCTCTCCTCTTGCCCTGGGCAGCATCAACTGTCTGGAAAACGTAAGCCAGGCGACGGCACTAGCACCGACACGCCAAAGGCCCAGTTTAATACCATCAGAGGCAGTTGGCCAGGCATCGGCACCATGCTGCGACATCTTAGGCAAGAACTCGAACAGGCCTGAAGCAAATTACTCCTGGCCTCGCCCACTTCTTAGATTTGCTGCAGCTTTGTCTGCTTTTTTTTCTTGTTTTATTTTCTTTATTTCTCTCTTATTGCCTTTTTCACTCCTCAATGGCCTCAATGTCTGCTGCTGCTCGAATCCATGAATCATATGAGTCATTCTGTTTCTCTCTCTCAGTGAATATTGCCTCCCAGCCTCTGTTAACTGGATTTTTAGTTACTTCCCTTCCATTTTCTCATCATCTTAAAGGCCACATCTCTCCTCGTGTCCCCTTGACTGTCCTCCTCATTGTCTCAGTCCACATTTTCCCTCACTCCATTCAATGCCCACTCCTCATGTAAATATTTTCCACTTTTCCTTTTTCTTCCTCTGCATAATCCCTGTGTTCTGTTATCTTCCTCTTCCTTTCACCTACCCTGTAGCTTAGCAGGCCCTTGCCTAATCCTTGCTTGCCTGTTCCAAAGGGGAGCCTGCAGGTGTCCAGACAGACAGACGAACATGATGCCGCTGAAGGGACATGTGTCATCCGGAGAGTGAGATGAATCTTGATTCAGCACAGCAGTTTACCATGCAGGCACGCTTAAATCTGCAGACTGGAACCTGCAGTGAACTTTCAATAGCCTCGGCAGTGGCACTCATACAAAGCGTACACTCATGCAAACTCCCATTGCTATCACTTGAACACCTGTTGTGCGTTTTCAGCACACACACTCACACACCTGTGTACAAACACGGAAAGTGAGAGAGGTACTTTTATCCACTAAGACGTCTGAGCTCTGATGAAGGCAGTCGCGGCATCTGCAGAGTCACAGCAGCATCCACAGATCGACTCAAACTGAACCTTGTCCATCCTCCCTTGGGTCGCAGGGATTGGAAATTATGTAGCAAAATGTGGACAACCAAGCAGAACTGCTGTCTGCAATCATGTGTGATATTGTGTGGAGGTGACGAGAAGAGATATTGGTTGATTCAGTGACAAGAAAAGAAAGAGAAGATCTTGTTTTTATGAGACATCTGAGAGACAGATGTGTGCCTGCATGGGTCCTCTATGTGTGGGTGTATGTGTTTGTTGGTAAATCAGAAGTGACGTTTCACTAAAAGAGCTGCAGTAAAATGATGACTGCATTTACAGTATGATGTGATTCACATGCATTATTGTTTTTATGCTAACCACAGACAGAGGTTAGGAGCTGCTTTCAAACATGCACCGATAACATTTTCCTCAAATGATCAACATTGGCTGATCTCCTGCCTACTGTACACTCTACCCAGATGCCCCCCCTCACCCCCTCGTCCCCTCTGGACCCAATTTCACAAATAATTTCCATAATTCAATTCGGAAAACAGCTTTAGACTCGGATATGTGGATTCTTTGTATGGTTATGCGATAAGACATTGATTTCACACCGTGAGTAAAGCAATTAAGGTTTGAAGGGTCTGACATTGGTGTTTGCAGGGGATCAGTTTATTGGATTATGTGGGTCAACACATTGATGAGTGTCATATTACGTTTAGTGAGGCTTTGTTTTGTCTCTCGGGTGCGTCCCTACATACAGGCAGCGTTGGGTTTGGGTCAGCCCTGCAAAGTTTTGAACCACGTTATCGTCTCCACATTGTGTGAAAATCAAAGAACAACTATTTCTGAATAGCTGTTATGTACATGTGTGATCAACAGCAGCACTAACTCGGCTCCAGCTGTCGGGCTTGTGTTTGCCAGCTTCATGCCTGGTCGTGCCGTTTTTTTTCATCTCCCTGTGGTACGACAGGCAGCAGTATCCTGCCGTACTGCCAAGGTTAACCATGGTCAGACACACATTACTGTACTGTATCTCTCATTCCCTCTAAGTGTCTCCAGCCTCTGATACTTTAGGTCAAAAAGTGCTTTTTTCTATAGTCGGAGAACAAGGATATTGTACATCCTATCTCAGAAGAGAAGGAAGCTTGAAGTGAACCTGAATCACTTATCAGTCTGCTCAGGTTGACCTTTACATTTCAGTATATGCTCTTCTGCTTATTGCCAGGGACACTTTTGCATTGGGATTTTCCTCTGGGAGAATTAATATCTGCCAAATAAATGCTTTCTGTTTGCCCGTGCAATCTGTGCCCATGTTTCTCTTTCACTCTCCTTCTGTCTATTTATTCTTATTTCCCCTCTTTCATTCATCGTATCCCTCCCACTTTAACTCCCCATTACTCCCTTGTTTATCCTTTGCCCTTTGCTGTTGTTCTCTCCCTCCTTCTTGATTTTTTTCCCCTCCTGCCCTTTTCCAACATTCTCCTTCACTGCGCCTCCTCCGTTTCTTCTTCGCCTGCCTTCGCTCACAGATCCACATTCATCTGTCCTCATCTCCCTCCCTGACCTCCCCTCTCCCTTTCTTTCTCTTTCACTCCCTCAAGTGACTGGCCACATGCTAATGTGTTTGTAGATAGGACACAGTGACTGAGAGAGGCCATTAGAGAGTGAACTGACTGCCAATGGCATCCAGGAAGTCCAGGACAGTGCGAGTGCTGCCGTTAGCATTTGCCAACAGTCTGTGAATGTGTGTGGATATGCTGCCGGTAACTGTGTGTGTGTTTATGTGTCCCTGTGTGCGTATCTGTGTGTATATATATATTAATGATTGCTGAATGTCCGTGTGGCTTTTAATTTTCTATGAATATTTCTATATTGCCATGCACAACTTGAATATATATATATGGTGTGTGTGGGTGTGCGTGTGTGCGTGCGTGTAAGCATTAATAATGCAGGGCTGTTGATCACACTGAATGATTGATGACAGCAAGGTCATGGATGGAGCTCACGCAGGCTCGAACAGACGAAAGAATAAAAACTAACCCTCACGCTATATCAATGTGCTCAAGCTGTTTATGTACAACCAGCACACTGTTCATTCAGCAGAGCAGCAGTTACTGATTTACTCCAGTTCTCTGTATCTTTATCATCTCCTGGTGAGGTATTAGTCAAACCCATGGCCCCGTCATCGGTAGCACAACATAAAAATGTGTAGCTAACGGTATCAACGGGCACTTTTCATCCATTTTTTAATGTTCTGACCCTGTTTGCCCTCATCATTGTTATGGTTTACAGTTCCAACAAAATCTAAGAATATTCAGCATTGGTTATCATATTTCTACATAACATATCGTGACCTCACACCATTAAGATCTCTCTACTCACATGCATACCAAGTGGCTTACATAAATCTGGCTCGGGGCAATAATCAATACATGTGATCTGACATGACGCCTCATCGATCTCTGCTGAGAATATATTTCCTCTTTCACTCAAATCAAAGAGGTCAGGGCACTGAGGAGCCGGTCGACAGCGACTGACGCGCTCGGTGACACTGCATTAGGGCGGACGTCTGCATCCTCGGCGCAACGAGCAGCGGTTTATTTCTACTCATCTAGTGTTGTTGTGATGCATGTGATCAAAAGCAAGCAGCATGCAAAAAACTTTGATAGTGATTGATGTCATCGAGTGTGATACCCTCACCTTGAAAACCTTGTTTATAAGAGACAAGACCATGTGGCAAATTTCACAATTTTTTCAGATTTTAATAAGAGCAGCTGCCATCAGTGTGGGTTTGCAGGGGGCTGTCTAAATCGGAGACTCTATGAACATGCATGCGTGTGTTTTGTATCGACGTAAACACTCTGCACACCTTTACTCAGCACCAGCAGCTAGCCTTCCTGCAGAAGACCGCACTACAATGTGACAGCCGCGTGCACATTGGAGCCAGCTCATGCTCAACACTCTCCTCCTCCCTCCTCGCTGCAGGGAGCAGTTTGAGCGCTCGGCTGGGGTGAGATGTGAAGTGACAGCTGACTCTTGCAGGGTAGCAGAGGTTCCTGTGAGGTCCTCGCAGCTTAGAGAGAGAGAAATGCATCTCTGTATCCTCCATCACCTCATTATATTGGGCGGCATTAGAGTGTGTTGTATTTTAACTCTCTGATTAGCTCTGGCTTTGTTGTAATGGCTTTTGCCTTTCACAGGGTTGATGGTTATTTTGTGTGATTAATATGTATGGGTTGTAATTGTTACGTGAAAACGTATTCTTCTATTTGAGCCCTTAAGTTCCTCTGAAAAAACTGAAGTAAAGACCCTGAGCCATCATGATGTGGTGGCTGTAACAGGACCCATTTGCTATATTTGGTTTTGTGCGCCCACTTCTGTGCCGTTAACCCCTTGCATTTGTTATCCCAGGTGTTCAACACTTACTCCAATGAGGACTACGACCGGCGTAATGAGGAGGTGGATCCTGTGGCGTCCTCCGCTGAGTACGAGCTGGAGAAGAGGGTGGAGAAACTGGAACTCTTCCCTGTGGAGCTGGAGAAAGGTGGGAAAGACAAGCTAAGAATATTGTATCATATCCGTCATAGGCAGTAGACTGATCACTTACAAAAGGAATTACACATGTGATGTTTCTATTTTATTAAATGTTTTCATTCAGATTGTTTTTTTCCCACTATTTCTGTATTTCTAAATAAATTCCTCCCAATTTTTGACTTTAATTTCTGGCTCAACCTTTCATGATAAGACTTTCTTCCTTTTAGAATCCTTAAACATGTGTTATGCTGCTGTTTGCCATCATGTTGCAACACACTACAAATCCCTTAATATCACACTAGAAGACCCTGTAGTGCACAGTTTGTCCTACTTCCCTGAACATGAGCTCCAATGAGGTGATGTGTTGCATCTCCTGCACTCGTCTTGTCCTGTTGAGCTTTTCCTGTGTGGCAATCAAACACTGCCAGGGGCCTTAAAATAAAATGACTTTACGTTGCAAGATTTCACCAGCCACTCCCTGTTATGTAAATGTTAACAGCTCGTGAATAATTACTGCAGGACGGAGATGGAGAAATGCTACAATGAAAGGGAACTTCCCATCCAGCTCATTTCCTATTCGTGTTAAGGCCAGCATGTCTATAGAAAATGTATCTTCCTCTTCTCCATTAATAAATCAATAGTTCTTCTTTGTGAGTTTATTTTTACTCATATCCACCTGACATCACTTCACCTGGAGTTGTTTTGGGTTTCATCGAGTGGATCCAACCAGTCCCTGCTGGGCTTTGTCAGCTTTTTTTGAAATGTTGCAGCCTTAAAATGATTTGATTTGTTCTTTATGTGTCCAGATGAGGACGGCCTGGGCATCAGTATCATCGGAATGGGCGTGGGTGCTGATGCAGGCCTGGAGAAACTGGGCATCTTTGTCAAGACCGTCATCGAGGGCGGAGCTGCTGAGAGAGACGGCAGGTGAGAGCCAGCGTCTTATTGGATCTTACGTGAGCGATGAGTGAGTCTGGAAACATCCTAAAGCTCAGTTTGTCCACATCTCAAGATCCACAGAAACTGTGTGTGTGTGTTGTGTGTCTTTATGCATTATAAAGTGTGAACAGTGCAGAGTAAGCACTGAGCAGAGGAAGAGGAGGAAATGACAGCAGGTGAGCTGTGCTCTGCCTCTAAACCACCAGCATTTACCTATTAGTGTGTCTGTGTGGTTCATGTTCCCTATAAACAGATTTAAAAAATGATAGGCTCGTCCATTCAAAGCAGCATGAGGGTAGTAAGTGCTCTAAGCTCCTCAGAGTAACCGGGGACTCTATTGCACCGGGGTTGTTTGCAGTAGTAGCTGTGTTTTCTTTAGGGATTAATTATTTTTCTGCTTGCAGAATCCAGGGCTGCCATTTCACATGAGAGTGAGATTAGTTAAAATGTAGTGCAGAGAGTACAGAGACATGGGGAGGGAGGGGGAAAAAAGAAATGGCTTAAATTCAAAAGTGAGAAAATTTGATCCTGTTCTGAGATGACAGTTCTAAAAAGTCAAATTTCTCTCAGTGAGTGGGAGAAAGTATGAAAAGTTGGAAAGATCAGAGGGAAGGCTGTGCTAAAGCTCAAGTTGTATATTTGTCTAAAAGTAGGTTTTAGCATTTGTCTCATTTGTTAGAGCTGAACAAAGATTAATGGATTAATGACTCAAAAAACAGAGACCATTTAATTTGTCCCCTGACTAGCGACTTGGTCAGTCCATCACTTATTTGGACAAAAATAGCACAGTCAGTATTCACATTTCATTTAAGTGAGATCATTGATCATTTATATTAGTTTTAGTTTCTAAATACTAGATAGTTACAGTGCTTATCCAATACAGGTAGTAATGCATAAAATGTCTTTACATTTCTGTTAAATAACCATAAAGTCACCCCTCTGTCAACTCTGTCAAATGAAACAGTTATAGAGTGCATGGTATTAAAAACATCCCTTTTAAGTCTGTGCAAGAATTATTACACCCCAATATAACACACTGCAAAATCCCTCTGAAATAAACAATGGTGTGTTTGTCCCAGTGTCATTGTCAGTCTCGTGCACCATGTGCTTTCAGGCTACTGTGAAAACCCCTCATTTACAGTTCAGTCAGCTTCTGCCTTTATCGCATGATGCTGACCTTTCAACAAACAGAGAAGGAGATGGAGGAGAAATACTTCCCTCTGACATCCTTTAAAAACTTTTTCTTCGCTTGTGTATTTGAGCTTCATGTTGTTTTGACTATTGCATTACCTCCTCTACTATAAACAGAGTTATCTTTCATTGTGAATCTGCAGCTGCAGCTAATGTGTCCTCATGACAATAAACCTTGATTACGATACAAGAGAAATAAATGAAAGAGTTGAGATATTAGTGTGTCGATAGCAATAAATATTGACTTGTGCACACTCATTTGCCCTTAAGGCGCTCTCACACACTCACACACTCACACACACACGAGCAGTCAGATAGATGGGCTTGATTATGGCTTGTCTGGTGCTGATGACCGTAGAGGTGTGTGTACTCTGTTGAGATGGCTTCGAGGTGCGGATGTGTGCTTGTGAGTTTTGATGTCTTGCTTTATCTTCCTCTGTTGTCCCTCTGTGGTTTTTCTTGTTGGCTTAACTCAGCAGCTGTTAACCGGACTCGGCCACACTAAACCCGATTAAGACGTTGGAAGCTGTGAAGGTCAGAAAAGCGTCTGAGCTGCTGACTGACAGTCAACCAGCCAGCTCTCTGTCTATGTGTCAGACTGATGTGTCTCTATGACAGCTCTGGTTGACGTGTTGAGTGTCACAGTCCTATTAAACGAGTGACAGGCTGAGAAAGAACACAGCTTATTGCCGGTGTGGATGCAGCCATCAGAGAACATTGTTTGTTTTGATTTTGTCTTTGCAGGATCCATCTTTTTAAAAAAAAGCTGTTAAGTTGGGAATTGTGGATGTTTACTAGTTTTAGGAGCTTAACCCAATCCAGGTACCAAGAGCAAGGACGTCTCTGCCTCTGCTGCACTCGCAACTCTTTACATTCAATCTGTATCTAGTGAGGACCTCAAGCTTATGGAAGTGTTTTTCTGGATCAGTTGACTGCTTTAAAAAAAATTTAATCCAGACAAATGGTTGAAATTCAATTGTATTCCTATCGTGTAATTGTTCTAGGTTAGGTTTTCATTGATATAGATGATTTCAATATTGATTCTATTATAATTATGTGGAGTTTGTTTTAATTTCTTTCATTATATTCAAAAACTGTAGAAGGCAGAAATTGTAAATGAAAGCAATAATGTCAAGGCAAGGGTTGATAATCCTGGAAGGCTCCACATAGAAATATGCAGCCAATTCCTCCCACCCCCCCATCGGCCCTACGTCAAAGCTGCGCCCCCAAGACACATGAATGAGCTCTGCCTGACAAGTGATAGAAGCCGACTTATCTGTGACTCACTCGCTATCTTCTGACTTTTGTCTCTGTCTTCCTGGCTGAAGATCCCAGTCTTACGCGTTAAGAGCACGGGCAGGGTGCACGCAGGCTGGCAGGTTGTTCAGTGACAGACAGATACGCCAGTCGTGTTTATTCTAGTCCTGCGAAGGCTGAAGACACTGGCTTTTTGTCTCTGTCTTTTCAGACAACTTTATTTATTAAATGGTTGTCTGGACAAAGTGTTTCAGAATCAACTTACCCACCTTTGAACTGGCTAAAATGCTTGTGCTTGCTATATATATATAATTAGAAACATTTGGGAGGAAAAGAGAGACCATTTTTGTTTTAATCATGTGAAAAAAAAGTAATTAAAACCTCAAATTCAGAACCTTTTTAAATCTGGTTATTAAGCAGATTTAAAAAGAACATTTAGTAAGAACATCTCTTTGAATTTATTTGTTCACAATTCCCCTGTTATGACCAGAGGATCATGGGGAGTTTAATTTCAGGTCAAGAACCTAGCCTCCCTCTCATCATGTCATGGAGCAGAAATGCAGGCCGTGTTGAGGCTCAGGGCGAACAGGCGAGCTGGCCTCCATGTCCTTGTTAGAACCTCCTCGTTTCTTTTGAGCCTCATCTCTTCTGTCTCTGTGTCAGGCAATAGTCTGGAGCCATCGCAGTGGAAATTCGGGAGCAAGAGAGAGTCTGGCGCTGTTGTTGTTGTTTGGAAGAAAATGTGAATATGCATGATAGGCGAGTTCGTTTGTCTCTTTGCCTCTTGTAGTAGTTTTCCTGCATCAGACTTTGTTTATTTTTGTGGACTCAATGTGTGTAAGCTCTATCACGATAACTTTCAGCTCACAGAATGATATTTGAATACGTCTCTGCTTCAGGATAAAGGTGAATGACCAGATAGTGGAGGTGGACGGGACCAGTCTGGTGGGCGTCACCCAGAGCTTCGCCGCCTCCGTCCTCAGGAACACTTCAGGAGTGGTTCGGTAAGACACGCAAACACACAAACATACACACAAACACACACACACACACANACACACACACACACACACACACACACACACACACACACACACACACACACACACACACACACAAACACCCTCTCACAGTATCTCAGTCTCATAAACCACATATAAATTTAATTATTTGAACATAGACTTTCTACTAGTGATGCCAAACACCATTATGAAATCTAATTTATCAGAACTCAATGTACATAAAAACATTAAAGCCCCCCAAAACAAACAATCATCAGTGTGTCACATATGATTCTCTAATAAACCGCAATGTCTGGAAATGTCCTTTGAACTCAACCTCGATCTCGTCCTCAGTTTTCACTGTTCAGTAGCGCTGCTTGTTGAAATCCTGAATGCTCCTCATCCTGCTGTCGTGGTGCTAAAGTCGCAAAGCAGCCACTTAAACAGCCGGGCTCAGTGCCGTTCTGTTTTGGCAAGAAACTTCGCTTCATTATCGTATCTGAGGAGATGTGGGAACACAATATGTGACAAAAGTCTGCTACGTTTGACAGTTTCTGGCAGGGGTCCACTAAGAGAGGTGGGGGTGCAGAGAACACACACACACACACACACACACACACACACACACACAGACACAGAAACACACACAAAGGCTGTGATTTGGAGAGCCCGTCCTGTCTTTGGCAGCTCTGTGAACCTGCCGCCTCAGATTTCAGTTGTGTCTTGGCTCTGTGTTGTCTGCTGCGTCCTCTGCTGTTTTACACCTTCTCCGGTTCCTCTTTACCCCGACTCTTCCTATTAGGGCTACTTAAAGGGGAAGAAAAATCGAGAATAAAGTCAGAACATTTTGAGAATAAAGTTGTAACATTTCAACAATAAAGTGGGAATATTAAGAGGAATAAAAGGTGGAATATTGGGAGAAAAGATCTCTACATTTTACAAGAACAAAGTTGGAATATTACAAGAATAAAAACATAATATTACAATAAGTCATCCATTTTATTAGAATAGATTCATAATTGTATGCTACGTGTCATTTTAGCGGAGGAATGTCAATAGATCTGCACGTTTGTCTCATCAGCACCAAATTATCATAAGTATCAGGACTTTGAAAAGACTGTGTAAGAAACTGTCTCCTCTGAAGAAAGAACCACACAGACTTGGAGGAAGTTGCCTCTTTCCGGGAGGAGGAAATGCCTTGTATTCATTCTCATAATTTTACAACTCTATTCACAAAATACTACTAATTTAATCTCAAAATATTCTTCTGACTTAGGCTGATGTGGCTTTCTAAACTTTTTCTGTGTATATTTACTGTGATATTTCCTATAATATATATATATATATATATATATATATATATATATGATATGTATATATTTGTTGTTGCTGAGCTTGCGATACATCACATGGGTTGGTCAAAAATGGATTGTGGGTATTTAAGATGGATTTAAGATATATCTATCAGAAGTCAGGATGAGCCTGGAGCTTCTAGTTGTGCTGAATTCCTCCTTTTTTTGCACAGTCGCATTTCTGAGAAGCCTCTTATTCCTGTTCCATGTTTCTACTTGACTTAACTTTACGCTGCTGATAAATAATCTATAGGCCTTGGTGGTTTGCAGCCTCAGCCCTGTTCTGGTCACAATGTTCTCTGTGGGAACAAAGATATGTCCGAGAGTATCAGAACAGACACATGCCGCTTACTGAGCTAATATTGACAATGGGGGTTCTCTACATACCAGGATGTGGCACTGTAGGTGAGACAGCCTTGACACGGTTCAATCTGTCACATGTCTACCTATCTAACATGTATAAATAGATTCACATGAGCAGTGAAGACATTTAATTTAACTTTAATCATTTTGAATTTATGTTTGAAAATAAAATACAATAATTGTGATGATAATTGTTGCTTCACATCATTTATTCTAGAAGTGGCAGATCCATTTCTCTCCTCTCTCGTACTATTTCAATCTTCCATCGTGTCTCACCCACTCACTCCTCCACCTCCTCCTCTTCCTCCTCTTCCTCCTCGGTAAATCCTTCCCTATCTGTCTGATCACCAGAGATTTTATGCCCAACTGTCCTAGATTTGCCATTTTAGCTATATTTAACCCCAAATTCCAGCAGCAAATCATCCAGGAGCTCTGACTATAAAAAACGAGGTGCTGCCACACAGATTTCCTAAAGGGAAACACAAGAGAAATACTGTGTACGCTCTGGGTAATATAAAATGACATCATTTCACTTACGGAAGATAGTTCCTGGATTTTGGCCAGCCTGGCTTGATGAACCTTTATTGGCTATAAATGCACTCAAGCTAATATTCTAAAAAGGCCCAAGCTGACATGAATTTATAGCCGTTTTCACTTTATAAAATATATAATACACAATACACCTGCTGCTAATTTTATTGTGACACACATTCATTTGTTCTAACAATTTGCTCCTAATTCCACAGATTGTCCGTTTTACTTTTAGAAGATAAGGCTGCTACTGTCAGATGCCTTCTATTCATTATCACACTGTCAACAAAATACCATTAAAACAGCTGATAATAGTTTATTCTTCTAAGATTTCCATTGTCCAAAAACACGCACGCACGCACGCACACACACACAGGGTTGCAGGTCCATGTGTGTCCTGTTCTTAAACATTTTCTTCTGGTCTCTTAAACAGCAATTGACTAAAACAAGAAAATACCTAATAACACCGTTAACATTTTCACATCCCACGGAAGAAAAAAACAAAACCGACAACCATCTTCCACCATGGTTGACCAGTCGCATCGGTGAACAACCTGTGCTGACATCCTCAAATAGCTGTTGACCTAAAGAGAGCATGTGTCCTGTAGCTTTCCCTCCTTCCTTTATTTTTATTTGCTAATCAGGTGCACAAGCAAGAAGAAAATCCAGCTCCTGCATCAAACTGTAACTGTTACACAAGCCCTGTCTTTATTAGCGTTATTAAATGAGATGGCCAGTGAAGGTTTCTGCTGTTAGAGTTGAGGCAGCGCTGTGTGTGGTGGGAGCCCCACTGGGACGCAGGGAGGAACTGAGACAGGCTCAGCATGCGTGCGGAGGAAGGCTGTTTCCAGGTCAGCTGCCCCTCAGACCTCCATGCTGTCCAAAGGCTTGTTCCACTACAGTACTTAACTTAGACAGGCCCCTCTCTATCTCCTTCCCTTTTCCTTTCTTTTTACTCTCTCTCTCCGTCCTGCCCTTCAGTTGTTCCTTCACATGTAGATCAAACACGCCTCTCTGCTGGACCGTAAGGCCTCCTCTACTTCCCCCTTCAGAAATATATGAAAGAGCTCTCGGGAGCTGAATTCACTTGATTAGGCGTCGTCTCAAATCCACTCCCTCTCTCTTTCTGTAGGTCTCTCACTCTGACACACACATGCAGCCGATAGGAGCAGGCTCATACATAAACAGTCATAGGGCCCCTGCTGGGTTAGAAATTTCCTGGACTAGGTCAGAGAAATTCTTTGCTTTAAATCTGAATTATGAGGAGAACTATAATGGCACTCAGTAGAGAGAATACACACGCCAAGAATCCTACATCTTCTTATTAAATATTAAAGGAAATGTGTCAGACTTTTTCCCTCAAGCTCTTTTCATTATTTCCTAAGATAATAAAACCGAAAAATCCTTCATATTCATTTGGATATACTGCAATTCTAAAACAGTCAAATATATGTCCACAACATTGATACCTTCCTGCATTGACATTACCTCAGCTACTTATTGGCGATAGTTATTAGTTCCTATAAATTATCATGCAACAGCTGGATTATTATTATTTGAATTAGCTTCTGAATAGCAGTATCATTGTTGGTGGTG